GGTTCAGAAACCAGATGCGGAAGGCAAAGGATGCAGACTGAAGCGGCCCGCGAAAACATTGTTGAGTCCATTCACTGATCCCTCCAGGAAAAAGAGGCCGACTACTGGTTTTCATGCACAGACACCTGAGGCCTGTTTTGATCCAACACAACCCGTGGCCATGGACGATGTGAAGGCTATGATACAAGTTTGCAAGGCTTGGAAAAGTGACATCAGGTTAGGAATTGTAACTTGGCAAAACCAATATACATGTTTTTTGATGTATGCAGTCATGTACAATAACAATATCTACGTAGCTAATTGTTCGTGTGTGTGTCATTGTCATATTATGCAAGGTGTCCATTAGTTTTTTTTATGGTTGAATTTACCTTTGCAAGTTTATTTTTTTGTAGTGCGGAGCTGGAGCTCGAACCATTTGTAGTTGGGGCAGATTTTTTTTACAAACTTGTAGATGAAACTGCATGGATGAGCTCGAGGGTAATACTTTTGAACCGTGCTTTATTTCGAAAAATTTCTGAATTGATCACTTTGAGTATGTGGCCATTTTTTTTTAATATTGAGGTCGTTGTTGTGTTGTGAAATGTCAGCACCTTGACATGGCCATGTTTCTAATACGCAAAAGACAACTCTCTCATCCTCAAGTATTTGGAACGGAGTGGACAACTGCCGAGTTTTGTCTGCAGGTATTATTGTATTCATATTATGTGTCATTGAATTTGTTGCATTGGTAGGAGTAATGTTGTTGGCTGTGTTTGGTGCATTGGATCCTGTTCATGTAACGTGTCTTTCACACTTGTTTGCAGCAATTTTTACAGCCATTTACACCGCCAAGTGCGAAACGAGTAATGGAAAAATAAAAGGACATATCAATGATAAAGTACCATAATCAAAATATATAAAGCAAAATGTAGAGAATGGTACAACATTCAAAATACCAGAAAATACTCTTGGTTAATGCAAACATTAAGAATTGAAATTATTAATTAAATGAGGATAATATGGTAAATTCACTCTTTTTCACATTGAAAAGAATTAAAAGAAAAATCAGATAAAAGATTCTACTTTTATGGAACACAACTACCCATTATCTTTTATAAATCTAAAATAAATTTAAATTTTTTTTAAAAAAGCATCATGTAGGGGCGGAAGCGCGTGTGGAGAGGCTAGTTGATATAAAACTTGGGAAATAGTTAGGCATAAAACCTAGGTTTTCTTTAGAGGGTGCATTTGCTAACGCGTGGGTTGGGAATCTCTTAATTGTATTTAACTTTTCAAACTGACTTCAAAAGCACTAAATTAACACACCAACATGAAATATATATCGTTTATTGAGCCTCCCTTAGTGTAAAAGGACTATGACATCATTAGCTGAAAATGCTTTAGAAGAAGGATTGACCTCGAGTTCATTGACATCCTATGAATAAGGGCAATAGGAAGAAGGACTATGACATCAATTCTTACGTTTTATTTTTTGTATAACAGAATAAAGCCCAAGTGAATAAGGGCAATAGGAAGAAGAAGACTCTTCTTCACCATTCCGGCTCCAGGCCCTTCTCATATAGGATGGATGCACGGCATCTGGTAAGAATAATATAATTTATATTTAATTTTTAATACGTCATTATTATTAATTTCTTTTGTTCATACTAATATTTTTCTTCTCTTGTTCAATTAAGGGGGGGTCGAAATTCCCAGAGATCGACGTCTTTGGTGACGTTTATGTTCGACCTGGGGATGAGTTGGCCGAGTCCCTTCATGTAAGTATTATGTATTTTTAATTCTTATGTTACACTTTCAATTTATATGCATTTTTGAATTTATATTTTATGTAATGTTAAACAGACGACGATGGTGGAGAGGAGCCAGTTGGTTCTTCAAGAGTCCGCCTCCCAACTTCCTCCCGAGACTCCGATCGAGTCTGTGGATCCTCCGCATGATGCTGGATTTCAGATTTTGACGCAGACGTTGGATCAGACTCTCGGGAGGAGGCCGGGAACGTATTGTAGGGGGATGGGGAATGCCCGACAGAGGGAACCTCGACCGCGGTCATCATCGCAGGCAAACAGTCAGGTGACTGTTTTGACATCGCGGGTTGCCGAGCTTGAGGGTCAGATGTCGGTGATTCTGCAGTCCCTCGCGTGGTCCGGGATTCCAATCCCGAATTTTGGTGCGTCGACCTCCGAGCCCGTCCAGCCCGAGCATCCCCAGCACACCACGGCCCCTGCAGACACCCATACCTCCGAGCCGCATGTGGCAGATGACCAAGTAGATTTCGGAACATTATTTGATTAGTTTTTTATTTTTATAATTACTTTTACAATTTGTATACATTTATTTTATTTTATATAATAGATGTTTTCTTTACGATTAATTTTTTTTATTGTAATTTCATTTTAATTAAAAAAAAACACAATTTATTTTTTTACAAAATTAAAAATCAAATAATAAAAATTTTTTTTTATAATATATATTGCTTTTGCGCGACGAAACGTAAATCGTCGCGCAAAAACATTTAAATAACAAATCGACAAATATATCTTAATCTTGCGCGACGAGTAATTTCGTTGCGCAAGATGTGTATGCGCGACGAATAAGATGTCGTCGCGCAAGGTTCATGTAGCTCGCGCGACGGACATTTCCGTCGCGCAGTTTTTTTGGCGACGACCTCTGTTTCGTCGCGCAAATATTTGTACGACGGACAATGAGGTCGTCCCGAAATGTTTTTTGAAACGAAGATGTTATACGTAGCGCAAACTGCGCGACGAATGACATTTGTTCGTCGCGCAAATCCTTTCTTCACGAACTTTGCGCGACGGATTGTGCGCGACGAAGATTCTGTCGCGCATAATGATGCGCGACTAAAATCTTTTTTGCGCGACGAAAACCCTTTCGTCGCGCAAAGACTAAAATGTAGTAGTGAATATTTTCTTTTCTAAAAATCTACCCGGCTACAGCCCTTTGTAGCCCACTAGGTAGTTCCGTCCGTGACATTGGACCAAAAATCTCTGGCATAAGCATCTTAACTAAGATTTCAAACTCTGTATTTGGATACAAAGTACTACCTGTATGTGTACTTGAACGAGAAGTATGCTCTTGTGTACCTTTGAATGTGAAAAAATTTATTTGTGTAAAAGTGCTGTGAGTTGTGTATAATTAGTAAAAATGACATTATATTGAAATGACTTTTCTATTCAAGTTTTCGATATAAAAAAATGCAATTTTACTTTCACTTATGTAATTCTTGTGTTAAATATGTTGTTTTAACCATTACACCCTAAAAATTATTTTAATCATAAAATAAATAATGTGTGGAAAACTATTTTGACTGCACTAAAATTTTACACTATTATAATTTTAACAGTGTAAGAAAATTTCCATAATTTTAAATTTTAAATATAACAAATATTGGACCTTTTTTTTTTAAAACAAATATTGGACTTTGGGACTTTATGCGATCAATCTCGCATTGCCAAGCTATTGGACGGCGAAAAGAAATGAAATAATCACAATATGTGGAATAGAAAATAGAAAAGAGGGCATTTTGTGGAAATTGTAAAAAGAAGTAAGGTTATGTTAGGTAGTTTGTAAAATTCATTAATGTTATGACTGTTCCAACTTGATTCTCGAGAAAGTTGAAACAAAAATCACCTCCACTCTTGTTTTCCCAAACTATTGTCGTTAACAGTGAATTTCTCAAATAATTGCATTCTCCTATTTTTACCAAACACACTGACACGCGCGTCACTTTCAAAGAAAGTGATTTTCCCCTAAATAATCAATGCCAAACGGATACTAAGATTGAAACAAAATACATAAAATATGACAACTAGCACATCAAACTCACATCAGGAACAATAATTTGATTTGTATTAGTGTTCTCAGTCAGCTGCATGCGCATTTGAGAAGCTTTGGTTTCCAGTGCTTGCAATGAACTGTGGTTGCTCAAATATAATTCGAACTCGTCACTGGCAGCTCTCAAATGGGTTTGGTGTTGTGTGATAGAGTGTATTAGAATACTTTAAGGGTATTTTTGGTAATTAAATAAGGTGTACTTAGTTAATTTTACATTTTGATTTAAATATTAGGATGTACTCAATTGATTTTATAACAGCCTTTATTTAGTCCCGATCTTTTAGACCACAGGAGACCAAGAGATTGTGGTCATCCACTGTTGGATATTAATCCAATGGTTCAAAAAAGTTTCTTAAAAGGAGTGCAACAGTGAGTGAACCGTTGAATTTACATCCAACGGTGAGTGACCACAAATCTCTTGGATCCCTGTAGTCCAAAGATCGGGATTGCCCTTTTATTGTTGTCCATATCAGGATTGTAAATTGTGTTCGTTTCAAATTAAATGATCTTAATGCATATGTTTACTTTATGTTCAACATCTTCAACTCATCAAATTTCCTTATATTACATGATGAGTCAGCAAGTTCGAATTTTTCATATTCCTAAAATGCCCTTTTCATATAATCTAGCCAGTAAATTTTCCATCAGTTTTTAATGTTCTAATTATGGGATTTATTTATGTGTACCAATAACCATCGGTATGAACCTTTGTGCAATTATATGCACATATATAGTTCTATATGTGCCTATGGCGATTAATATACGAATATAGCTATTCACTTTGCTCACATATATTGAGCAAAAGCGAAAAGAAGAAAAAGAATCAGAAGTAAAATTTGGACAGAAACGAAGCTGATTTGGTCTCCCGATAATGCAGCCAAGGCCTACATCGACACCGTTCCAAGCAATTCTTTCTTGAAAAGTTTCTTGCTTTAGTTGATTTCATGCCGTATGAATTTAATTTCTTGGGTTTCATTTGTTTTTCTTGATTTTTAAGATCTGGGTTTTGTTTGCAGTGTGAGGTTTTTCATGAATCTAGGATTGCAGAGCTCGTTTCAGCCATGGCTCTAGGATAGCAGAGCTCGTTTCAGCCATGGCTGCCGGTTGGAATACAGAGTTCATCGTTGAGACGTGGTCACAAGGAGGGGTCACTGCAACAACAAGCATTGGGCTTGAAATTGCCAGACACCACACGTGTGTGTGGTCCTAGATGACCAGTCAAGGGCAGAATTTGTGACAGCAATGAAAGAGGCAGGGATGGCGCCAGAGGTTCTTGTTAGGGAGCCAGAGGAGGTCATGGCCGGGCTTGTGGAGATAGATTTTCTGGTTATGGATTCAAAGCGCAAAGACTTTGCTAGGGTTTTGAGGAAGGCAAGACTGAGCCCTAGGGGTGCAGTTTTGGTATGCAAGAATGCCAATTCAAGAAATGCTTCTAGTTTCAGATGGAGAAGTGTTGTGCATTGTGGGTTAAGACGTCTTGATCCAAGTGTGTTTTTTTTAATCTTTCTGTTTGGTGACCTAAACTTGTATATACGTCTTGACCCACAATCCACAACACTTCTCCATCTGAAACTAGAAGCACTTCTTGAATCGGCATTCTTGCACACCAAAACTGCACCCCTAGGGCTCTGCCTCAAAACTCTGGCAAAGTCTTTGCGCTTTGAATCCACAACCAGAAAATCTATCCGCACAAGCTCGGCCATGACCTCCTCTGGCTCCCCAACAAGAACCTCTGGCGCCATCCCTGCCTCTTTCATTGCTGTCACAAATACTGCCCTTGACTGGTCATCTGGGACCACACACACGTGTGGTGTCTGGCAATTTCAAGCCCAATGCTTGTTGTTGCAGTGACCACGTCTCAACGATGAGCTCTGCTTTCCACCCTGGCTGAAACGAGCTCTGCAACCCCAGATTCATGAAAAACCTCACACTGCAAACAAAGCCCAGATCATAAAAATCAAGAAAAACAAATGAAACCCAAGAAATTAAATTCATACGTCACGAAATCAACTAAAGCAAGAAACTTTTCAAGAAAGAATTGCTTACAGATGGAACGGTGTCGATGTAGGCCTTGGTTGCATTCTCGGGAGACCAAATCAGCTTCATTTCTGTCCAAATTTTCTGATTCTTCTTCTTCTTTTCCCTTTTGCTCAATAAATTTTATAATTTTATATCTATAATTATATATGTGCCCATGGCTATTCATAACATACTTATTGTGGATATAACAATTTTTATGTGAATATTGTTAATACATTAGGCTAAAAATAAATAAAGTGGCCCTAAATCCCTTGTCCCTAAGACGTTCGTTTTCCAAATTTTTTAGCCCAAAATTTTGTTTTCTTTAACCCATAGAGATATATATATATATATATATATATATAAATATATATATGAAGAAGACTATGTCTGAGGTGTTAACGTCCATCCAAATCGGAAATGGACAGCCCATTTATTGATACCAGTTCTGGTCCCTTTCCAGCTATGCCAGTCGTGACCACATTTCTTTCTGTGCAAAATGCTGGTTTTGTAGGTACAGGCAGTGACATATTTTCATTTGTCAACATAGAAACGACATCTTGCATAGTGGGCCGATCGGCTGGATGTTCCTCCACGCAGAGTAGACCAACATGAATGCATCTCAACAGTTGATCACCATTGCATGAATCACCTAGTGTTGGATCCATCAACTGCAACCCTGCACCTTCTTTCCATAATTCCCATGTCTGTAGAAGAAACGTACAGAAGTATTTTGAGCAACTCGAATAAGAAAATTTTAGCTAGCCATAACTGTTATTGTTAATTTGTTCAACATACGTAGCCTACTATATTGAGCATCCGATCATCATTGTAGAAGCTATTGTTTCTCCTCCCACTTATGATTTCAAGCATTAGCACTCCAAAACTATAGACGTCGGACTTTATTGAAAAAATTCCTTTCATAGCATACTCGGGAGACATATAACCACTGTAAAAGAAGGAAACGAAAATGTCTTTAGTACATCCCCTTATCTAAATGCATGTTTAGAAAATTACCAACTAAAAGTGGAACATGTTATAATAAGGATGTCATGATCACTTACTATGTCCCCATAACCCTATTAGTATTTGCTTCTTCCTCGTTATGCGTGAAAATCCTTGCCATACCAAAATCAGAAATTTTGGGATTCATGCTTTCGTCAAGCAGAATATTACTAGCTTTTAAATCTCTATGAATTATTCTTGTTCTCGAGTATTTGTGTAAGTACAGCAACCCTTGTGTGATCCCTTCAATTATACTAAAACGCTTCTTCCAATCTAGTAGACCACCTCGGCTTGAATCTGTCCAAAATAGAGTCAACTAAGTAAATTTTTTTATAGTAATTATAGATTTTGAGAGTTAATCAGAAATGACTTGCTTCCCATATTAAGGTTAAGAAATGATCAAATCGAGCACTAAGAGTAAAGTAGTCTTGATTGCCAACCAAATAAAAAGTAGTCCAAGCTTTTGTTTGGCATGTACTCATATATCAACATCCTCTCTTCGCCATGGACGCAAAATCCAAAAAGCTGAACAAGGTTTGTGTGTTGAAGTTCATATATGAGTATCAATTCATTCTTAAACTCCAATGCTCCCTGTGCAGAACACTTTGAAAGCCTCTTCACAGCTATTTCTCGTCCCGTAACCAATTTTCCCTGAATTGTTAATCCATAATATTTATTAGTAATTGTTTCAAAAAGAAAAGAACTACGTAATATATTTCTGGGCAATTCATAGTATAAATAGAAAAACTTTCTGTAATTTTAAATGTTACCTTAAAGACAGGTCCAAAGCCCCCTTGTCCGAGTTTGTTTTCTTCTGAGAAGTTTCTCGTGGCAGCCAAGACAGATACATAGCTAAATACGATTAAATCATGAGGCCTTATGTTTCCATCATCATTTTGAAGCCCATTCACATGATGAGTAGGTCTATTAGATTTCATGAAGTCAAGTAATTCGTTCTGAATCTTTGCCCCGTTAATCTTGGCTATTTTGAAAGTTCAAATTTCAATTGTTGGGACAACGATGATCAAAGATTTGAAATTTTGGCTAACAAGTGCGCACATTATGCTCAAAGCATTTACCTGCTGAAAGTATAAGTTTTGTCCTTCTTAGTCGATAGCAAAAGATGCAAAACAACATTACCACTAGAGCTGCAGCAATAGAAGTGCCAATCCAGAACCACTTGCGGGCGGGTGTTGCATCTAGAGATATGGTTAGTGAGAATACATATTCTAAAACGAGAAACTCAGTATATTAGAAAGATTAGTACATAGCGACACCTACCAATCTTTTTCTGAGGTGGGGAATGTGGTGATTTTGGCTGCAAAACAAAACTTGTATTGGCAGTGAGCTCTTCAATGAACTCACAGTCCACACTCCAAAATTGGCATCGTGCATCCTTAGTCTGATTAAGAAATGATAAGTCGAATCCAAGGCAGTCACAATCTTGCCAACAATTGGCCTTACAGTCAATATCATCGGTGCCAATCCAGCTTGCGGGTCTTGAAGTATTTATACTTGTAGAGTTGATGATCTTGAAGTAACCTTTTTTAATCTCAAATTCATCACCAAATAACTCAATACAGTCACTTGGGCGGTCCCTTTTCACACACCCTCCAACAATGTTATAGCCATCACAGTACCGTACTTCTGTAATATAATTACCGACGTGTGCCCCATAGTCAGAAAGATACCCATCTGGGAATAGAACCCATTCTGGCTCAGGAGCACTTGGATCATTTTTACTAGTGTAAGTGAGGTAGTCTTCATTTTGATTTGAAACAATGCTAAAGTTGTACCTCTTCTTGGACACATCAGGCAAAATATATTCAAATCTCCCATCAGAAAAGACCCCGCTAGTCCAATAAACCACCCCATCTTTCTTGATTTTCAATTGGTGTCCATTGGGATCCCAATCAAGGATGAAAGGCCCGGGGGACAGCGGGTTGTCCCTAGATCCACGTGATAAAGAGACCAAATGTGGCCATTTCTATGGTCAACCCCCAATTTCATGCCTGGTAAAAATGTGTCTAGTGGATGATCAAAACTTTGCCAAAAGACCCGGATCGTTGATCCGTTGACAGAGCTCACTTCTTGCAGGACGAAGTTGCCCGAATCCAAAAGGGTAGCCACAACACTAGTACTAGTGTCATTAGTTTGTGGAGCGGTGGATAGGACAAAAGGATCGCCACCTTGGTGAATAATTTTCAACGTATTGTTGGTGTCCAAGGTGAGAAGTGGGGAAGAGGAGGATGAAATAGGTAAGTCTGGGTTCGCAATCCATGCTCTGTTTGCCTCACGTTTAATGCGCATGATAGAAAGAAAGTTGGAATCTGAGCCATGGATCGTTCTTAGAGTAAAATTCAAAGAGAACTTCCCTGATGATGAAACTAAGGAACCTGTGGAATTGAGAGTGTCCCCTTGTTTCAATGTGTCGGTTGCATTGTGCCAAGTCCACCGGGATGCAAAAATGATCAACATTATGAAGCAGTTCATCATCCGACCAGCAGCCATGAGAATGACCAGAAGGCCAGACTGTCTAGATGATCATGAAAACTCCTCTTTTGAGACATATAAGAATCTTATCACTTAAAACTTTCAAGATGGAAATGATATATTTTAAAGCCACAAAAAAGAAAAGAAAAAAGAAGTCAATGTGCACATAGAAGGGTTATAGAGAGAGAGAGAGAGAGAGAGAGATGTTGGAATGAATAAAAGTGAAAGGCTGAAACCAATATCAAAATTTATGAGCTGGAGAGTTACTATACTCCAATACCGAGGATAGCAAAGCCGGCTAGGAGGAGACCCCGAGCAACAACAACAATTAGTATGTTCCGCTTGTCTGTATATACATTGTTAGTACAACCTTAACTTCCTAAATGAAGACTAGCATTTTATCAATAATAGCCAAAATTTATACCCCAATTTCATAAATGTTAGTTTTTATAAAAACTTTCAAATATAGCCAAAAACCCATTTAAATTAACACAAATACCCTCAAAATTAAACCAAATAACAAAAAACTTACAAATCAAATAACTCACAACTACGGTGACCAAGCTCACTCACAACTATGGTGGCTAGTTATGGCGATGAACCCTAAACTCTACTTAAAAACTCAAAACCCCAATTTTATTTCAAGTTTGATGGACTTGACAAATTCAATCACTTTTCTTTCTTCTCTCAACCTTAACTTCCTAAATGAAGACTAGTGTGTTAAAATTAAACAAGTCAACCTAGTACTCGAGGTGAATTATTCCAATATATACTTTTGTATATATTCTTCCTCAATGCTTGCTTTTTATTTTATTATTATGTAGAAATATGTGACATGTACCAAATGTTTATTTGGGTATTACTCTTTCTTTTTTTTTGGTCAGAAAGTAGGATTACTCTTTAGGATGATAAACGAGCATGGACGTTGTCTTTGATCGGTGGTTAAAATTCGTCGATAAATAATGTTCAACTCTGATATGAGTGATATGTCTATTCTGAGGTCAATTCGGTCGGTGAGCCCGTCTAAGCATCCTCGGTCAAAATAGGGGTGCCCTAATGGTTTGTGAGTGATGGATCAATCCTGAGAAATACCAAAATATGTAGTGTACACCTTTGAGTGGGATAGATGTTTGTCGTGACAGTTTTTTTATCTCTTCTTTTCTTATTACGGAAAGAAAATTACAATGAAAGATATATCATATGACAAAGAACTTTCAAAGTTTCAAACTCTTAGAAATTAATTTATACATATAATGAAAATTTTCTTATTTATTTATTAATGTTTTTATGATAACACGGGTCAATACGTAATACGACGATTGAAACTATAGTGCATGCCTTGTTAATAACATACTTTTAAAAGAAAATTTGGAGATTTGCACAAGCATCACCTGAAAGCTTCGAGCATATCATCATCTATCTTTATTCTTGGCACGAAAATGTCCAGCAAACTAACTTTAGAAATTAAATACGTACAATTGAGGTAAGCCAAATATATCTATTTAGTACTTTTCGATAACAAAGCTGGAAAAAGCAGAGAGTTTAGAGAGAAGCAAAATGCTCAAGAATTTGAATCTGTTAATGTTTAGAAGGGCTCCGCTTGTCTAGTAAACCACCCCACATACATCTTCTAATCTTCAATTGGCCCGCGCTGTACTCAGCAAACAATTGACAAGATCACGTTAGGCTTAATGAATCAAATTTCATGTACGCGAAACTTCCATCACGGCTGCCTTATTCTAGTTTCTCATGTTAGGCGACAAAACCAGGCGGCTACATCTATTTCCAAGTTATCATATCACATAGAACTCTTGTTGCTCTTGGCATGGGGCGTTGACTCAGTTTGGGTCATGCATGGGGGTCTATTCCCAGCCCGCTTGGCTTAATTTCCAGGTTATGTTGTTGTATAGAACAATAAAAGTTGACTTTGTAAAATATATATTATTTATATTTTATTATCCATTAATGCCAAAAAAACATAGACGAACACGATGACTTCAATGTTTTATCATGTTTATAAATTGTGATTTTGTTTAGCCCCGCCCAAGCCTAACTTTCAAGTTTCAACCTTTCACATTAAATTTCCAATTCTCCAACCCTTTTCTTCTCTCTGTTTTTCTCAGCCTTCTGTGATCAAGTGAGATATAGAGGTACCTATTTTTCTCATCCGACTAATTACTTAGCGATGTGTGAATTAAACAAAGTACTCATTGTGAGTTCCAGTACTTTTTAAAATATGTTATGCAAAAGTTTAGCCGGGAAAACAGAAACAAAAGTATATATGTTATACGAAGAGGAAGAGACGAAAATTCTATTCAAATCCCGTTTGATTCTGATTCACCACATGATTATCACGTGTGGAAATTTTGGTTTTTGTGGGGGAAAAAGAAACACTAAAAACAAGTGGCAGTAAAAGAGATGAAATGAGAACAACATAATTTGCCCCAATCCCGCCAAACTTTTGTCCGAAAGATCAAAATTTGCAAGGTATTTCCGGCGAAACTTTGTTGGAAAGGTCTATCTCGGCAAAATTTCTTGGGAAAGATAAAATTTGCCAAAGGTCTGTCCCCTACGACATTTGCGGGAAAGGTCTCTTGGTGTCAATTTGTCCGGAAAGATCAGTTTCACTGCAAAAGGTCTGTCTTGGCAAATTTTGTTGGAAGAGATAAAATTTGCTGCAAAAGGTCTGTTCCGGCGAAATTCTAATTGGTAAAGATCAAAATTTGCCGTGAAGGGTCTATCCCTTTGCAGGAAAGAAACTTGAGGAATTAAGAGTAACCTGGTTTCAGTGTGTCGCTTGCATCCTGATGTATCTACAAGCAAGAAAATTACGTCTGGATTGCTGGCACACTAGCCATGAATGAGCACAGGGTACAAGTTACAACTTCAAATTAATGATGAAATTTTTCTGTAAATTATTAGTGGGTTAATTAAACATCTCTTTCAAATTAATAAGAAAGGTCTTCAAAAAAAAAAAACTAAACAAAAGGTTTAAGTGGCAGACAAAACTTTATAGAATTGTTGATATCATGTTCACCTTTCCTTTTAATAATTAAGGAAACTCAATTAAACGTCAAATATCAAATACCTAGGGAATCTAAACTCAATTAAAAAACTATAATCCATAAGAAGACCTACTTTCACAGGGAATAAAACATATACAAAAGCCAAGCAAATGTTCCAAAATGAAGGTACCATTGTAATTATGGCCCAAAGATATCGTTTAGCTAATAGACGAATCCTCTATCGTCCAGCAACTGTGGTATTAGACAAACCATTTACTGATATAATTTGCAACTCCCTTCTACTTATATCAGACACAATAACATTTCTTCTTGTGATGAATGCTGGCCTTGTAGGTAATGGCAATGAAATTGTTTCAGCGGTCAACATAGATATGACGTCAGACATGGAGGGCCGATCAGCTGCATTTTCTTCCACGCATAACAGACCAACATGGAAGCATCTTAACAATTGATCTTCAGTACATGAATCCTTCAGTGTTGGATCCATTAGCTCTAGCCCCCTGCCTTCTTTCCATAACTCCCATGACTGAAAAAATATTGCACTCATTTAATTAAGTTGTTGAAAGATTCATGATATATATGTTCACAACTCAAAAAAGAAAATGTAAATCGTAAATTTGATTTGTAAGACATACATATCCTACTATATTGAGCACGCGATCAGCATTGTAGAAGCTACTATTTCTCCTACCACTAATGATTTCAAGCATTAACACCCCGAAACTATAGACGTCAGATTCTATTGAAAAAATCCCCTCCATAGCGTACTCGGGAGACATGTAACCACTGTATCATATAAAAACCAAATATATTTAGTATATGTTTGTAAGTACATGTTTAGCAATGTCAAAGTGGTGAAAGGTATGATCTACTTACTATGTTCCAACAACCTTATTAGTATTTGCTTCAAGTTCATTATGTGTAAAAATTCTTGCCAAACCAAAATCAGAAATTTTGGGCTTCATATTTTCATCAAGTAGTATGTTACTAGCTTTTAAATCTCTGTGAATTACTCTCATTCTTGAGTATTTATGCAAGTAAAGCAGTCCTTGAGCGATTCCTTCAATTATGTTGAACCGCTTCGTCCAATCTAGTAGCATCGCTCTGGTTGAATCTGTCCAAATATATCCATGAAAATAACTAGAAATGTCAGATTATTCGAATGGAAGAAATCAAGTAACTAAGATTAAAGTGATCGAGAATCTTAATTTCCGACCGAATAAAAAGTAGTCCAAACTTTTGTTTGGCATGTAGGCATAGATTAATATCCTCTCTTCCCCATGAATGCAGAAGCCAAAAAGCTGAACGAGGTTTGTATGTTGGAGTTCAGATATGAGTATCAATTCATTCTTAAACTCCAAAGTTCCTTGCCCTGAACATCTTGAAAGCCTCTTCACAGCGATTTCTCGTCCCGTCACAAGTTTTCCCTTCATTAATAATCCATAATATAGCACCAAGTAATTAGGTTTATATTTTGGGAGATTGACTATTACCCAATATAGGAGCCCAAATTATTATTATTAAAATAAAATAAAAAATAAAAAAACCATACATGAAAAGGAATTTGGAAACACAAGCCTATTTACAACATAATAAAAAGGCTTTTAACTTCTTTAAATTACAACACTGTCATTGATTTTTTAAAACAAACCTAACCCCAAAACCTTATAAAAACTACAAATTTATAATAAAAAAAAGCCTAAAACACTCAATAGGGCATCAAAATAATTTTGTAATCGAAATTAAATTCAATAGAGCCAGTCATTTTTTGGGTTTTTTTTTATATATAAATTAAATGGTGTAGGGTTTATTATTAGTGTTAAGGATGAGTATATTACTAAATATATATTTTGGGTTTTTTTATAGAAATTAATTACCTTATAAACAGGTCCAAAGCCTCCCTGTCCTAGCTTGTTTTCTTCCGAGAAGTTAGTTGTGGCAGCCACGACAGATGCGTAGCTAAATACTGTCAAATTATTTCCCATCTTTCCATCATTCCCGTTGACATCGCCAGTGGATCTATCAGTTTCTATCCATTCAAGCAATTCATTCTCAATCATCGGGTTGGTCTCCCCTGTTTAGATTATATAATGTTGTAAGAAAATTAAAATTTACAATTTCCAAAGCCTTCACAGATGTTTAAAGAGTCTACCTGAAAATAGTTTCCTCCTTAGTAGATAGCTCGAGATGCAAAGCACCATGACCAATAGAGCAACGGCAATAGCCGTGCCAGTCCATATCCACTTATGTGCTGCACAGAGTAACACAAATGTGAAGAGATAATTCTTCAATATTCATTGTAGACGTATATATATATATATATATATATATATATATGTACATGTGCCTGAAATTTATTCTCTTTACACTTGGTGGTCATTGGTACTTGTGAAATGATCCTATATATCTTAGTAGACTTACCGTTACGGCGAGATGACTTTAGTAAAACAAAATAATTCGTTGTGGTATCGCCAGTAGTGTTTTCGTTGAACTCCCAGTTTCCAGTCCAAAATCTGCATCCAGTCTTATTATCATAAGGAAAGTCGAACCCATGACAGTCACAATTTTCCCAACAAGCCGCCTTACAATCACTAGTGCCGAGGCTTGTATTCGAATCAATGTTTGGTTCAGAGGACTCAATTGTGGAACTGTCGAAATAACCCACTTTTGTCTCAAATCTATCGCCAAGATGCCTACAAGTTGGCTGGTGCCTTTTCTGGCACCCTCCGTCGGTGTTATATCCATCACAGCTTGGAGATTGTGATGGTAAGTGGCCGTCCACCGGCAGTGTTTTCAATAGGTACCCCTCTGAGTCTAGCGACCATAGGTTACTTTGATGTACAGTAGTAGTGTAAGTGAAGTAGTCTTCGTTCTCATTTGAAACTATGCTAAAGTTATAAATGCTCCGCTTATTGGATTCACCATAATAAGGTGATAAAAATTCAAATGTCCCATCTCTAAATGCCCCGCTACTCCAATAAAGCACCCCACGTTGTTTGATTTGCAATTGGTGTCCTCTGGGGTCCCATTCAAAGGTGAATGCTCCTGTCTCTGGGCTGGAATAAATCAACGATGATGTAAGCAACCAAATGTGATCATTTCTGTAGTTCACACCTAATTTCATGCCTGGTAAAAACGTGTCTGCAAGATAATCAAAACTTTGCCACAAAACTTGCTTCGTTGATCCATCGATAGAGTTCAGTTCTTTTAGGACAAAGTTTCCAGTATCCAACAGAGTAGCCACCACAACACTAGTAGTACTGTTAATATTGGTAGTTCGTGGCGCTGAGAAAAGCTCTATAGGATCACGACCTTTTTGCGTAATTTTCAGTGTTCCATTCCTGTCCAAGGTAAGAGCTCCCGTAGGGTACATAATTGGTGTGTTCCGGTTGGCAATCCAGATCCAGGAATAAAATGGTATAATATCTTCAGTCCTCTGAAGAACTAGGTAGCTGGAGTTCGGTTTGCCCTCATCTAATACAGTGAAATTCAAAGTGAACTTCCCCGTGGCAGAAACTAAGGTATCTGAGGAATTGAGAGTGTCCCCTGGTTTCAGTGTGTCCCTTTTTGCAGCATAACAAGCACTCCAGATGGTGCATGAAAAGCTTACCAGCGACCAAACTAAGTTCAGACTGCAGCTAGCCATGAGCAATTGCGGAACCAAGAACTTTTACAGGAGGCCTGAAACAGAAAAGCAACAAAGCTAAAGCGATACGTCCCTAAAAATTACATTGGAATTCAGGAACAAACAGGACTTTGGATAAACAGGGGAACCATTCACCCAGGTGTCCAAATTAAAACTTTGAAATGTGGGATCTAATTAGGAACCCTAATTCAATAGGGTTCTGCAGGGCTTTTCAAACATGAAAACAGGGAATCCCCTAGAAAATAGTTTAAATAAAACTTTATGTGGTTCAGTAAAAATAATTATTTCATGTCCGATATTGTACCACTACGTGCTATGCATGTGGTGAATGAGACTAATTATTTCGTGTCGTTTCTAAGCGGTGCTACCATGTCTCCTAAATTTTCACCCCTAAATGCTATGCATGTGGTGAATGAGAGAAGTTATCACAAGAAATGAAGGTTTTTTTTTTTCATCAATGGGGTATTGAGAGTTCAATTTGGGATATCTTTCAACATTTGAAAAGAGAAGTGCCACTAAATGGATAGCTATTTGGTGCAAGAGAGGAAGTTAAAAGAGTGAAAAAAAAATGAGATGTGAGAGAGAAAAGGTATGCTAGTGAATATTAAGTTTTTTCAGTACAAGCACTTGGGAGAGGGGGTTTACATAATATTTATTGGGTGCCTGAAGGTTTTCGAACCTCTGCCCACATAAGTAAAGGTGGAAGAAATCAACAAACTAAGCTATATCCACTGCCAATAAAGATTAAAGTTTAATGTAGGCATAAGTAGCAATACATATATATATATATATATATATACAGTCCCTTTCTATTAAGAGAGGCCCTTTAGGGTACCCTACAATTTTTTTTTCCAATGATTCAAACCATCTATTTTTCAGGTCTTCATTCATAGATCATCCTTACAAAAAATTAGACAAATCGGAAACCGTTTCAACATCCAATTGTGTCCTACAAAATCAATGAATACGATGCTTAAAGAAAGTACTAAAATTTCAATAACTCAATTGAATGGTCAAATGATATCGGATTCAAGTGATTTTTTGTAGAGATGATTTTTGAATGAGTATCTACAAAATAGACGGTTTGGATTAATGAAATACAATCCGGAGTGGGCCCTACAAGCGGTGTCCCTCAAATAAGCTTATTTGAGGAATCCCTCAATGGAAGCTCTTTGTATATATATATGTATATTGTATTATATCATTAGCATCGAGAATAAATAAATTTATACATATAAACTGCTTCTTCAAGTTGCTTCAGTTGGGGAGTTAACGTGTGTTAACTCATCTTATCTATATCTATATAAATAAAGCAAAAGCCAGAGAATGGTGAAACATTCAAAATACCATAAAATACCATTGGTTAATTCAAACATTAAAGAATTGAAAATATTAATTAAATGAGGATAATATGGTAAATTCACATTTTAAAATTAAAATTAACAAAATAAAAAAATAGGTCATACTTTTATGGAACATAACTACCCATGTTATCTTTTCTTAATTCTAAAAATAAAATAAAACTAATTGGCAAATGCGTTTGGCACATACATGGGCGTGTGCCAAGGGGCTAGTATGTATAAAGCAAAAGACAAAAAATGGTAAAACATTCAAAAATCCAAAAAAATATCCTTATTAATCAAAGTGTTAAACGATTGCAAATTAATATAATAGGGATAAAATGATAAAACACTAAGTTGCACAATTATAAAATAAAAAATAAATTCCAACTAAGTAATTATATGAAGGAAGTTACTCCCCCACCACATTCTTTTTTCTTTTTCTCTTTTCAATTTTTTAAAAATATCTTTATATTTACTTGATGTAAAATAGAAACGATATTTGTATATGGAAAAAAAAATATATATATATATAACAAGTCTTTCTTAAAAGAGTAATGCTACACTTACCACATTTTTATCTCACATTTCTATACCACATGATGTGGCATGTCCATATTATATGTCACATCAATTAAATCAATGAAGTGTATTTTAATTAAGACAATTAGAAAAACAAATACTGGAATAAATCATAAAAGAAAAGAAAATATTAAATAATTTTAATTGATGTGGATGTCCAACTTAGCTGCCACATAAGATGATATAAGAATGTGGTATACAAATGTGGTAAGAGTAGCATTATTCTTTTAAATTTTTAAGAAGAGTAATGCTACACTTACCACATTTTTATCTCACATTTCTATACCACATAATGTGGCATGTCCATATTATATGTCATATCAATTAGCACACGCATGGTATAGAGGTGAAACTTTCATAATCCGAAATATATCCTTGGGTAATAACAAGTATGGTGTGAGATCAATTTATTGAACAACGATAAAATAGTAAATTAATAATTTGCTTTCAAATTAAAACTTTAACACCAGAAACTAGAACATGGTCTCCTATTTTTAAGGGAGACCCACATTTACTTCTTTTTTAATGGCACGTAGGAAGTTTTGTAAATGTAAAAACGAAAAATTATGGATTAGAGAAGTCAACGGGGTTTAGCCCAGAGATAAAAGGGTCTTGATTTGCAAAATTCATGTATTAATTTGCTTCCAGAGGTGATTCCTGAAACAAAATCCACCTCTCTACTAATTAACAAAACTTTAAATGAATGGATAAATATATGAAAACTACCCATCAAATTTTTCTTGTTTAGAAGAATGAAAGAGAAAGAAGAGATCAAACATATAGTCATCTATATGTTCTACAGGAAAATTACCTGTTGTAGCTGCAACTGCAATGAACTCTGTATAGCTGTTGTAGGATTTTGCCGATGGAGTGACTGCTCAGTAACCCAGGTTTGAAACAAGAAGAGAGAAGGTAAAGGCTGAAGAAGAATGTGAAAGGCTGAAAAGTCCGGTTTGTGTGACAAATAAACAAATAAATATGGAGGAGAGATACGCGTGACAAATAAACAACAAAGGCCATCAGCTAATTATATAAAGAACAGCTTGCCGAAGTGTGTTTGTGACAACAACCTACAGAGGTTTTTTTGTTTTTTGTTTGTGTGTGGTGTGGGTGGGGGAATGGTGATGGGTTTGATTATAATGATGGTCGAGGTACCAAGTGATGTTGGGAGAAATGATTCGCACTAAGAAACTTTGACACCGACAAAAAGCTGAAGACTAGGAACCTCGGGCTGCAAGGCTGGAGTCACCTTTGGACCTAGAGACACGTGCCCCGCCAACCCTAGGTCGTCACAAATTTTTGGAGTTATTTATACGAATGTCTCCTGAAATTTTTCGTGTTTTCACATAACCTTCTGAGGTTGTTTGAATTTCACAAACATCCCTCCATTATAAATACTTAAATACCCGTCATGATATTAGAATACTGTTTGGATGCGTTTGATGAACAAATTTAATTGCAAATGGATACTCAATTTAATTGCAATTGATATTTGTAGATTTGGTGAACAAATTGGGAACAATTGCAAGATTTGGAACACAAAGGAAATTATGGAGTGATGTGAGCATGATTGGACAATTCGGTGTTGGTTTCTACTCGCCCTATCTTTGTTGATGACAAAGAAGACGAGCGCAAAAGGGAGGAGGAGGTCGATGAGGTAAAGGGGGAAAAAAATCCAACAAGAACAAGATCAAGGAGATTTGTCAGTAGATGGAGGAGAAATGGAGGACATGGAGTATGAAGCCTTTTTTTTCTTTCCCTTTTCTCGGTGGAAGGAGTATATGATGCATTTGATGAGTAGGGGCTTTTTTTATTTATTAAATTTTTTATTAGAATAAAGGCAGATATGGGACACAATTTTAACAATATGATGAAAAGAGCTACGATTTCCTTACCTTTTCGCTAGAATCGTTATCTTCAACATCCATTTTCTTGTTGTTTTCTTCTTTAGAAACAATTTGATATTAACAAATAGAAGAGCGAAACAAAATTATTTGAGAATTGAATTATGAGCATTGGAGTCGTGAGAGCAACTAAGGAGTCATGAGAAACTGAGGAGTCCTTTTTTTTTTTTTTTTTTTTTTTTTTTTTTTTTTTCTTTAGAATTGGTTGATTGGTTAGATGAGGTTGAGAGGTTTTTTTCCTAAATCCTTAGTAGTAATTTTATTAAAGGGATAAATTTGTCTTTAAAATTTTAATGATAAGATAAGTAATAAAAAAGGACATAGGTGAAAATAGTATCACTCTGCAAATTTTCGTGACAATGTACATATTGTTTAGCAAAAGTAATTTTCCTAGTACATTTACACTTGTATGGAAGAAAGTACAACTGGCAATTGAGGCACCAAAAATGTAAATGTCAGTGCTTCATCATGCTACACATTTTGAGTTGGACAAGTCATTTGTTGAAAGACTTTTTTATTCTTTTCCAGTCGTATCAGCTTCAACGACTTCTCTTCCTATTAAAAAAATGCTGTTTTTTAGATAATGCTAATGCCATGCCTTCATTTGTCAACAACACTGATATAACATCCAACATGGTAGGGCGATAAGCTGCATTTTCTTCCACGCATAGAAGACCAACATGGATTTGTGTGGGAGCAAATATCTTGGCGCTCCAATCACAATGCAGCACTTGGACAAAAAGAATATTTCCTAGGTTAATAATCGGGTCTATTTATTTGGGGGATTATTTAGACCAAAATTGGGATCATTATCATTCATTAGGGATTTGATCCTAATTGAAATTCCTAATTGACTCAATCTTTCCATTTAAGGGAAATAATATTTTCCTTCCAAATAGAAAAATATTCTTTGCAAAACCCAGCACACAAAGAGCCTATAAATAAGGGTTGCACCAAACATTCAAGGTAATTCTAAACCTAGCTAAAAAACCCGAGAGAGACACCTCTCACTCTCTCTCTCCTCACACGGCTAAGTGCCAGCATACACTGCTCCGGCCACCCAGCTCTCCCTTTGAGAGAAAAATCCGTACCCATTTTAGCTATTGCTTTCTTCGAAAATCTAATCAAACTAACTTATATATCGGAGGGCCTTTGGCCAACACCCTGATAAGTT